TATGTTTATACATTCTTTTTATAGATACAAATATTTAAATAAATGCTCTGTTTATAATAAACTTTCGTTTAGCATCTATAAAAAAGAATGTATAAACATAAAAAGGTCTTAAATAATTGTCGGACTTTGTTCATTTCATAATATATATATATATATATATATATATATATATATAACTTTTATTAAAGTTTCATTAAAGGTGATATGGAGTGGTTCGTGAGATGCAAGAAATTTTCGTTAATTTGTGTGGAGTCGAACATTTCTCTTCGTTGGTTTGTCTAGTGCCTAGGGCGATATACTATATCAAGATAGAGAAGTTTTTCCTTGTTTACAGTTTTTCCAAGAGAAATGACCAAAGAAAACAAATCTATTCAGGCCTGGAGGGTTTTTTTTCCTTTCTTTTCTTTTCTTTTCTCTGGTGACTTTGTGTCAACAATTTTCCGTTAACTTAGTTTCAGAGATTCTACAAACCTAACCCGTGTCTACCGATATAAACAAGTTTTATTAAAAAGAATAGACATTTTATGCCTATTAAATTTATTGATTGTGCTAATAACGTTCCGCAAATGTTTCTGTTATTATGGTATAATATAACCAAAATTAACGTATATCGTGGCCCGAAAACTTTATCACTCCTACAAAAAGTAATGAAACCAATAGAAGAATACAGTAATACAAAGCACATGGACTGGATTATATTATGGATTATATATATTATGTAGGGGTGACAGGACTTTCGGACCACCCTGTACAAAGATGAAATATCCTCAAATCAAATGAAAGAATGATAAAAAGTGAGGGGTCATTTTTGTATTGTTCTTTAGTATTAAATACATCCCCCATTTCATGGCCATAGTACAGGGTGGTCCGAAAGTCTTGTCCCTCACCCTAGCAAAAGTAATGAGAACAAGTAACACAAAGCACATGTACTGGATTCAGTTTATTCCCTTTCGTTGACGCTGTCACACATCGAGACGTTCACCATCATTTTCGTGGCACTAAAAGATGCGGCGCCATGTCCTGTGTGATATTTTACGAAGCTGTGCTTTGCTGATTGTTGCAAAAGGCTCTCCGAACGGCGTCCTTCCACTGATGGATATTCTGGTATCGTTCATGTGCAACTCTCTCCTCCACAGAGTGTCGAAATAGAAAATTATATTCTGTAGGCGTGACAAGACTTTCAGACCACACTGTAGTTTAGTTCAAATTTTCGAGCGCGAACGCACAACTGCACAGATGGACGCGTGGTCGCACGCGCGCAAACGCGCGCAAACGCACACAAGGACGCAAACAATACGGAAAAACACCGACGCTAATGATAAGTGCAGAAAAAAGAAAAATCGAGAAAGATAAGCAGTAAATTGCTGATACTCGCTGAAGAGTAGACAAACGGGTCCGTCCAAGAAACTCTGGAGTCGGTATGCTGAAGGAACATCAATCAGCTGACAAGCCTTTTACTGTTATTTGGTATAGTCCTTTGTGATTGTGTAGCACCAATTCATAATGTCCAAAGAAGGATGGCCTTTGCCAAGACTTCAGACTTCAGACGCTCAAAGTCTTTTTACCATTGACCTTAGGAATATATATATATATATATATACATATATATATAATTATATATATATATATATATATATATATATATATATATATATATATATATGATCGAAATAAAAGTATAAAATTTAATATTACAAGACATATTAAAAAAAAATAAAAAAAACCTACAGTTCCGCCATATGCGAACATCTATTAAATAGCAGAGATTGTGCTTCCAAATTTAGTGTTGACTGGTTCACCGTGTTGGCCCGGTCTCACTCTTTATTTCATCTGAAGGTTCTGGAGGCACTTTACATCGGGTCCCGCAAGCCTTCTTTGTGCAAACAACGTGAGTGTTTGTTGGGGCTCGCTGTCATTTGTCTCTAGTTCCTTCTGCATATATATATAAATATATATATATGTATTTTTTTCCCAATTCCTTTTGTACATTTTTGTGTATTAATTTTGAATCTCCCGTTGAAGCCTAAAGAGCGGAAGCGAAACCGGTTGCTTCCCCCCGTTGTTGTGTTTTTTATTTTTTTTAATATGTCTTGTAATATTAAATTTTATACTTTTATTTCGATCATTAAATTTTGTACCTACAAAAATATCTTTTATATATATATATATATATATATATATATATATATATATATATATATATATAATTAATTATATATAATTAATATATATATATATATATGTGTGTGTGTGTGTGTGTGTGTGTGTTATACACCGTACCTATGAACCCTAATGGGTATGTCCCAATCCTCATAAATACGTTGGACACTATTGTAAGTGGGGGTAATATGCTGTCCCCCACTAGCAGTGGTTTACCTACTTCACGCCGCTGGCGAGTATTGTATTTTGTTGATGTTATAAAGATTACCATTTCATTTCCAACCTCTATTTTGGCTATTCCTCGTTCAGTAACCTTTTCTAGGCTACAACAATATATATGTGTGTGTGCGGGTGTGTGTGTAATTAAAACAAGTAAAAGAGTTGTCACTTAGCTGATTGAGGTTACCTTCAACTTCCCGACTCCAGACTTTCGTAGACGGACCCTCCGGGAATTACATCGTCTACTCATCATGGGGTATCAACAGTCGTCTATATAATTGGATGCCTTAAAGATGTCCAGTGTCCTATGTCCACATTTCTTTACACATGCTCTATTTCGGATATTGAGCAATTTTACCCTTAACATATAGCATACCTTAAAACTATATTTTATCACACATACACCCACACACAAATATATATATATATATATATATATATATATATATATATATATATATATATATTGATAACAGAAGCCATTGGTTTATATCAATGGCTTCCTATATTTAACACTTCTCGTTTTTACTCTCGCGTGGTCATGTGTGATACCATGGGCTGCGGTGCGATTTCCGCTTCCAGCGTCTCGTATGCACGGATTTGTCGATGCTTGGACATCTTCCATGTAAACAAAACAGACTATCATTGTTATTATGTCCGTGTATTGTTTAATTTATTGTAATGTAATTGTCATCTTTGATGACGGCTTATGTAAGCCGAAATCTTAGATAGGATTAAAAAAAAACATGTATCAATATGGTGATTTTCATCTTTCAATGATAATGTTAATAAGCTTATCAGACGATATGAAAGGAATTTGATTAAAATAAATAGACAAAACTTGTCTATTTTAATGAAACATGCATTAATAATATATATATATATATTATTATTATTATTAATGCAGGAAGGAAGGAAGGAAGGAAGGAAGGAAGGAAGGAAGGAAAAGGAAGGAAGGAAGGAAGGAAGGGAATTAAAGAAGAAAGATTATAAATCACGAAAAATTAAAAAGAAGAAATGTGGAAAAACAGAAAGAAGTATAGAAGAAAGAAAGAAAGAAAGAAAGAAAGAAAGAAAGAAAGAAAGAAAAAAAAGAAAGAAAGAAAGAAAGAAAGAAAGAAAGAAAGAAAAGTGAACGGGAAAGGATATAATACAGAACGGAAAGAAAGAAGAAAGGAAAAAAGAAACTAAAACAAGAAAAAGTGAAAGCGTCGGAAAAAAAAAAGAGAAAAATTAAAAGGTAAGTAGGAAAGAAGGAAGAAAAAAAGATGATGACAAAAAAAAAAGGAAAGAAATGAAAGGAGAAAGAAAGGCAGTAAAAGAAGATGGAAGAAGAAAGGAAGAGAGAAAAATAAAAAGAAGGAACAAAAAGAGAAAAAAAAAAAAAATTGAATCTAGAGAAATGGGAAGAAGAAAGAAATATAAAAACCAAGACAGGAATTGAACCATAAGACAAATCAACAAACAAAATTCCGATCAACGAGTTTCGGCTTTCCAATTCGCCAACGCTACATTGGAATGCCATTACGAAGGCTTAACTCGAAGTGCCGTTAGAATCCACTGAGGCGTCCGACTTTGCTTCAGCTCTGCCCATGGCTACGTCCGATTGGCCAGCGGTCAAACGCATTCAATTAAAGATAATCCCTCAGTCAGCACTGTTTTGGCCGTTGGCGATCAAATCTCCGTGCCACAGACATCTCAACGCGTTGGACATTGGACAAAGGCGAAAAGACAAAGAACTGAAGAGAAGAAAATAAAATCGCCGACAGCTTCATCGCCCTGACTCGCCCCCTTTCTCTTTCTTTTATTCTCTCTCTCTCTCTCTCTCTCTCTCTCTCTCTCTCTCTATCTATCTATCTATCTCTGTCCCTATCTACCTATCTATCTATCTATCTGTCTGTCTGTCTAGCATTTTCTAGTATTTACGTTTCAGGTATCGAATTGTCTGTTTTACGTTCAAGTCATCGATATTCGGTGTCCGAGGTCAGAATTCTAGGCGCTGATTTGTCGCAACACAAACCTCCTAAACTACTGACTAACAATGAAGTTGTACCCTTGTTAAATCTGTAATACCCACGTGATATAAATATCTTTTGTACTAGTCGCCCTTGTGTGTGCATCCATTGATCTCTTAAATGCACTCGTAGCTTTCTCCGTGTCGAATGATTTATCTTAATCACTAAGCCTTCCAATCGATTTATCGATTACTTTCCTGATGCGATTCAGCATTTAGAAAGTAGATATCCAACATAAAAAAGAACGCCTTTTGCCAAACCAAGTAAAACTTAAAGACATAAAATTTCTCTTTCTTTATATTTTCCATCTTTCCTTCTCAAAAATTACAATTAGAAAAACTTCATTACTAAACGTCTTTCATCTTACATATGCCTCGTCATTTCAGAAAGTGGGCGATCATGGCTGTATTCTTTCGATGCTTACTCAGCGGAATTAAAAATTATTAAAACAGGAAGATTGTGTTACGCCAAATAGGAAGTACTAACATTTTCCCATTGATGCAAATTGCACATCTACAGCTAACTTCGCCCACAAAGCAAGTATATTTATTGTTTCAATTTATTCATTCACTATACCATTTATTCTTTTTATTCATATTAACATACAACACACCGGTCCCCCTATGATCACCGAAGTTAAGCAACGGTGGGTCTGATCAGTACTTAGATGGGTGACCGCTTGAAAATACCAGGTGTAACATTGGATATGCGGGTAGTGCAATTGGCTTACGGCTAGATCACGTTGAAACTCCGCTTCTTATACGATTAACGAGGTTAAGCAACGTTGGATCTGGTCAGTACCTAGATGGGTGACCGCTTGAAAATACCAGGTGTAACCTTGGTTATGCGGGTGGTGCAATGGGCTTACGGTATATCACACCACTTCTCGTACAATTACCGAAGTTAAGCAACGTTGGGTCTAGTCAGTACTTAGATGGGTGACCGCCTGAAAATACCAGGTGTAACCTCGGATGTGCGGGTTGTGAAATGGGCTTACACCCATATCACGTTGAAACACCGCTTCTCGTACGATCAACGAAGTTAAGCAACTTTGGTTCTAGTCAGTACCTAAATGGGTGACTGCTTGAAAATACCAGTTGTAACCTTAGATTTGCGGTTTGTGCAATGGGCTTACGGCCATATCACGTTGAAACATCGCTTCTTATACGAGCAACGTCGAGCCTGGTTAGAACCTCGATGTATGATCGCTTGGAAATATCAGGTGTCGTAGGCTTAGATGTAAGAATGGTTAATGAATAGCGACTTGGAATTGGAAATCGGAGGGCCGAGTTCTAATTCCAGTCGAGTTCGTTATATTCAATGACGCGCAAATACCCTTGTGAAAGGTATGAATACGCATTTTCTCCTCACTAGCTATGGGCTGCTTACTAGAACTTGTATCATTACCTCCAAAAACATTCTTATAATCTAAAAATGTTTCTGGCTTTAAATAAACTGCAAAGGTTTGATAAGATGTAAAAAAAAAAACAATCAGGCAACACCCAGTGGCACACTGAATCACTTTTCGAAAAATGATTATCATTGAATTCGCTCCCTGGCAGCATTTTGTGACCTTATGTCCCACAGACTACTGAGCGTGTTGGACATTGGACAAAGGCAAAAAGACAAAGAACTGGAAAGGAAAAAAAATAAAATCGTCAACAGCTTCATCGCCCTGACTCTCCCTCTTTCTCTTTCTTTTATTCCTTCAATTCTCTTGCTTCTTTCTTTCTTTCTTTCTTTCTTTCTCTCTCTCTCTCTCTCTCTCTCTCACACACACACACACATACACACTCACTCACTATCTATCTATCTATCTATCTATCTATCTTTTGTGTAGCATTTTCTAGTATTTACCTTTCAGGTATCGAATTGTCTGTTTTACGGTCAAGTCATCGATATCGATATTCGGTGGCTGAGGTCAGAATTCTGGGCGCTTCTATACGACTGACTAACAATGAAATTATGCACTTGGTAAATCTGTAATACCCACGTGATATAAATGATTATCTTTGAATTCACTCCCTCATACATTACCTAACATCGTTTTGAAACCTTATGCACTCAGACCTTTTACTTAGTAAATAAATAAATGTGATGCTATCCTATTATTAGCCTTTAATAGTTGTCTCGATTGATGATCAAAGTTGACTGGAGAGCAAGGTTTCGGAAGAGAGTCCAACAAGCGAGAAAAGAAACTGTTAGCATAGAACTTACGGTTACAACGAGAAATTTCATCTATTAGGAGACCTAACTGCTAATCTAGTACTTAAATTCGAAAATGAAAGTTCATCGGAAGAATTATCATGGAATAATTCATAGAAAAGACAGAGAGAAGCTGCGTAAGTGGGAAAATGACTGAAGCCGAAATGCCAGGTAAGGACGGATAACATTGTAGATTGTTCTTTGGACTTTATCAAGAATATCGAAATACACAAACCAGATTTGACAGCAATATTCAATACATAGACAAATTGTAGACTCATAAAATTAGAAGATAAATTCTGTCGAGTAAAATTGTCTAACACGACACAGTGAACCAAATTTCCTACCAGCAGACCTAGCAATTGATTCAATATATTTCCACTTCATGTCAGCAGAAACGTTAAGGTGCAATGAGTCACTCTCTTGGAGGTTAGCATCAGCCATATTGATGGAAGGCAAAAAAGATTCTCTCAGACGATTAAAAGAGAGCAATTTTATTTTGATGGTGGTAAAATGATAATAATTTCTTATCCCAGTTAAAGACAGATAGTAGGCCATTTTTTATATCAACTGCCAATCTGACCTTATGAAACCTATCAGACTTATCATTAAGACAAGAGTAAATAGTTGTGATCAGTATAGATAAGGAGTTGAGAACTGATGACACTGGGAAGGTCGTTGATTAAAATTAGGAACAACATAGGTCCAACGATATAGCCATGGGTCATCCGCATTAATGCAAAAATATCTAGAAGAGTGACTGTTAAGACTAATTTCATTTCACGATTAAATAAGAAAGATTGAATCAGATCAAAAATTTATCTAGAAATGCCATAAACTTATAAAGAAGACCAGTGTGCTAAACCCAGGCAACAGCGCAAGATTCGCCATTTTTATTTAAAGTTTCACAAACTCTTTTAGCAATAACCATTACCACACCAGCAGTCGAAATATACTGTTGTAATTGTTAAACATCGTTAAACACTATTTACACTATTTATATCGTTTGGACTGCTGTCTTCATCTTTATTTCGGCCGTTTTCCTATGTCTTAATACATTGCTTATTTTCCAAAAGGCATCTTTCGCTATTCCGATTCACCTTCGTTTCTCTGTGCCACACTCTCCTTTGTCAGTTATTACACAAACCAGATAAATTTCTGGATCTACTCTACTCGATTCTGATGCCTTCAATTATTTATATATATATATGTGTGTGTGTGTGTGTGTGTGTGTGTGTGTGTGTGTGTGTGTGTGTGTGTGTGTGTGTGTGTGTGTGTGTGTGTGTGTGAAAAATATATAGAAAATAGGAAAGAACTCGTTAGGTAAATAATCCAAAGTTCTTTAGTATTTTTGTTATTATTTTTAAAAAATAGTGCTCGATACAAAAGTAGAGCATAAATATAATTATTTATTTAAAAATATGATTCCAACGCTTCATAAGAGTTATGCGGGTGGTGCATTTACAGAATTTACTAAAATAGATTAGGCTGATAAGTAGGGTGATAAGTAGCGAATTTGGTTAAATTTAAAATCCTAGCGCAATAAGTTTCAATTGATCTTCGCTTCATTCGTAGTTCACGTAAACTCATTTTATTTAAAAAAAAAAAAAAAAAAAAAAACTTGAGTAGAGGAATTCAAAATCTAATAGCGTTGGTCTTTCAAGACTGATCCTTAATTTCCTAAGTAGGGGTGAGCTTTCGAAAATAACTGACGTAATGGAATAACCTGCCACCCCCATGAGTGGTAACCACTTATAAGTATCCGGAGGACAGCGGACGGGAGAGTCGAGCTGGGATCTTTCCCAGCTGTACTGGTCGAACTTTCTACCTTCGGACAGAGAGGAACCCGAACGAGACTATGCCGAAGGGCAGAGTTTCGTCCGGGGAGGTAGACAGACCCGATCCCGTTTATGCGGGGTCTATGCCAATTTTTTGGCCGAGCCTCCGGGCTCGGGAACCCCACTTTAAATTCGGTCTTGTGCCACATGTGACTGCGTGGGGCTGTTGCTAAATAGTGTTGAGCTGGGATCTGCGAGACTAGCAGCCTTCCGATAACAGCACGCACCCAACTGTACTGACTTGCGACGACCGTGCACATAACTATTATTTCCTTTGCTTGGTGTACTGATTTCTACAGTAAACCTGTTACTATTTATCCACCGTGTTTGTCCATTCCATATTCCTATTAGCACGCAATATAACAATAACACAAGGTTTCAAGTAATGCCATTAAAAATTTAGTGACAATTTGCTTTGACATGTAGCCCCACATAGCGGCATATAACGAAATTCAAAATTTAGTAAAGTTAGGATTTCAAAACTAACCCTTACAATCGCAAGTAGCGAAAAACAAATTTATTAGAAACTTTTAACAATGACGCCATGTGCCAACACTGCGCATTTATGACAATAGCAATGGTATGGCAGACAAACTTACTCGTTCTCTGCAGCGAGGAACCCGATTTATACTTACAAAACATATGGCACAAGGCCACTCGTGTGGGGCTCCTTCTATAGACTAGAACTTGCCACTGTACCAATGTTCTTCGAAATTAGCTTGCTAATCACTGCATCTCAGCAATGTGTATACAACGTCTGTTTTCTTTTTAAGCTGAGTGGACAGAAACTGGATTAATGCACAAAGATCTATGGATATTGATTTTAGCTTTAATTCAAATCACTTTTTATTACATTGATGGTGGACAAAATGTCTTGGGGTTAGGAAAGATAAATAAATCGAATCTGTCTTGTTTTAATCCTTTAACTTTTTCAAAACATCTTTTTTTTTGATTAATCATAAGGGCAAAACAGAATCACGTGCTTCCTCCAGCTTGTAATGGATTTTGCAAAAAACCTACTTTAATCTGAGGCCTCAGAAGAAAATCACTTTTCTGTTTTACGTTTCTTTTTTAATAATATTCATTTGGTTTTAAATGATGATTTTGAAAGAATTCCAAAAACTGGCCCAAACTTGGATGAATTATTTTCTTCTAAACATTCTTTTTAATAAAATCTATAATCCCTTCAGGATGTAAGCGATTATAGCTCTCCACAAGCTCCTTCTCTTTATTGTCTGTGAATTACCATAATTGTTCTTAAGAAAGATAGTGTAACGGTTTATCGTTCTGAATTCAGTTTTGTCCTTCTCCAAGGTCTCAACCAAGGCTAGAGAGCCCAGTCTACACTGCTATTTAACCTAGAGCTTTTGAAGGCGAAAGTGATTTATAATTTTTCCCAAGGACTTTAATCTGAATTGAACTTAAACTCGACATGTAAATTCCACTTTCCCTTGTCCTGGGTATGACGATAAACTAAATCCGACAGCAAGGCCTCTGATCGAGAAATTGGAATTTTTGAGGAGCCTCTTAATTGCTGTCTTTCTCACGTCCACGGGTGGTAGCGTCTGCTAGGGATAAATAGGTCCCAGCTATGGATAAATAGTGAGCCTCCGAAACAAAAATCAACGGTACATTTTTTATAATAAAATAACCAGCTAGACATTTTTTATAACAAAATGACAATCAATGCAACATTATAAAATATATAAAAATATATTTTAATAGTAAAATTATTAACAATATATTTTATGATCGTCAAAATCTAACAAAACACATACCTTCACCCTGAAAGTATAAAATTACGTACAAAATATTTAGATTTCGATGTTGAATAACCCATAAAGGTGTTGATATGCCGCTAAACAAAATCAACGAACCAACATGAAAGAACTTTCATGAAATTAGCCTATATATCCTACA